TCCGGTCACCTGAACTTTGAGCGGAGAGTAAAAAATTGCGAAACCGCGTAGCTATATTGATGTTACCAATCTACCGGCTTTTTCGAAGTATTATCGCGTTTTTTTAGCTCCCAGATCTCTTTGTGCAGTTATGCACGAAAGCATGAAACATTTGCAAACCCTAGGATCTTTCGTCCTGTTCATAGGAAGGCGATCAATGTGTATTTGCTTTTGAAATATCAAAAGCCAACCTGCTTTCTTAAACCTGTGAGATTTTGCTCTTTCTTTTTTGCTTAGATTAAAAGCGCCACAGAAGCGCGCTATGAAGATCCCCTACTTGTGCATCCATGAGATGAGCGCGAATTGCGCGTAAAGCGATCGCCGCCGCATTTTCCATTTGTGATTTATCGGCTGCAGCATAACATGCTTCGAATAAAGATAGAGAGAACTTCCAGAAAAAAAGGAGACTTGCGCTTTGGCATAAGAATTTTGGAAAACGAGGTGTTTACTTGGACTGGATTTGCTTGCGAGGAAGTTCGAACGGTGCTATCTCTGTGTCCGCGGCCCAAAATTTCAAAGTCGCGAATTTGGCTGAAATTCGGTAGAGAAATCACAAATATTACGTTCTATCATAAAAACGCCATTTGGTGGGGCAACGGTGGATATACGTAGAAGAGTTGATTCAATCGGCTGAAATTTGGTCTAAGGGGTTTTCTAAAGACTAACCACGAATACTATATTCTTTCTGCATTCTGCAGCGGGCTTAGTCTTCAAAAATCCTTCTAACCAACGTACGCCGGGCCCTGCTTAGGGTTTTGGCACGGAAAAGTTAAGCGGAACGCTGTGAGCATACTGAGTGGAAGTACATTGAAGGGAGAGAAAGATACTATGACTTTTTTGAGTAAGCTTTTGCGAAAAGGGTGTTTTGAAACGGGACAGCTCCTTGAACAACGAAGAAAGAGTGGACAACTTCACTGTGGAGTTTTAGAGGGAAAAACTTGGTGCATTTTGGCTAAGAAAATGGGAAAAACTGATATTTTAAGGCAAGAGTGATGAGGAAATTAGGCTCTTCTAATGGAAAACGATCTTTTCGCACGGGCGGTCTCCAGCGCCATCCTGATTTTTACTTGTCTTAACACATTACACGCCGCAAATCTTTCTTCCCCCTGTTTTGCTTGAGCAAAAGCCGCCGCAGGATGTTCCGCGCGCGACAGTGGTGTTGGAAAGGAATAGGACGCGAATCGCGTTCTCACCCTCCTCTAATGATTTGACGGAAAAAGCCGCTAACGCTTTGAGAAAATTCTAAACCGAAAGGAACATGCAATACAATACATCAGCTAAGAAAAGCCACAGAAAGGAGAGCTACGGGAAGGATGCTGTACGAGAAGAAGGAACATTACTCGTTTCTCTAATGCGAGGTTGAGTCTAGAGAAAAAGCGCAAGGTGTAAGGTGTGCATTTCTATTTTGGAAAATGAGCTTCACTCAACGCAACATCTTTCTTGACTCCAACGTTCTTCTGCAAGCTGTCGTACTTTCGTCATTTAAAACTACATGCACACCATGCCTTTTCAGCGGATTTCAAGCAAACATCGCTAGACGAGTTCATTAGCTTCCACGGCATTGTCTAATACGAGGCTATGGTGACTCAATACAACATTTCTCACACCTGCTCGCCATTGGGCCGCTAGTATATAATAAAAAAAAAGCAACGGAAAAGCGAACTTTTTTGCACCGCCCGTTTTCGTTGCGTGAGCCTGGACACCGTACCCATTCCCCCTTGAGTTTGATGAAAAAGAAGGCGATTGACGCGCATAAACTACATGATGTAGTCTCCATGGTCTAGTGGCTAAGGAGTGCGACTCTCAGCTGCTAAACCCGGGTTCGATTCACCACTCAGCAATTCCTTTTTGCCACTAACGTTGGCCCCAAAAACAGCTGATTTCTCCTATTATATAAAAAGAATGGAAACTAGAACCTCCGTTTTTCTGATCGTTTTTCAAGATCGTTGCGGGAGCCTGGACACTGTACCCCCTTTCTTTGAATTTGATGAAAAAAAGGGCGATTGACGAGCATAAACTACAGTTGCGATGTAGTCTCCATGGTCTAGTGGCTAAGGGGTGCGACCCTCAGCTGCTAAACCTGGGTTCGATTCCCCGCTCAGGAATTCCTTTTTGCCACTAATGTTGGCTCTAAAAAACAGCTGATTTCTCCACAGATCCTATTACATAAAAAGAATGGAAACTAGAACCTCCGTTTTTCTGATCGTTTTTCAGGATCGTTGCGGGAGCCTGGACACTGTACCCCCTTTCTTTGAATTTAATGAAAAAAAGGCGATCGACGCGCATAAACTACAGTTGTGATGTAGTCTCCATGGTCTAGTGGCTAAGGGGTGCGACTCTCAGCTGCCAGACTCGGGTTCAAATTCACCACTCAAAAATTCCTTTTTGCCACTAACGTTGGCTCCAAAAAACAGCTGATTTCTCCACAAATTACTATATATATAATAAAAAAAGCAACGGAAAAGCGAACTTTTTTGCACCGCCCGTTTTCGTTGCGTGAGCCTGGACACCGTACCCATTCCCCCTTGAGTTTGATGAAAAAGAAGGCGATTGACGCGCATAAACTACATGATGTAGTCTCCATGGTCTAGTGGCTAAGGAGTGCGACTCTCAGCTGCTAAACCCCGGGTTCGATTCACCACTCAGCAATTCCTTTTTGCCACTAACGTTGGCCCCAAAAACAGCTGATTTCTCCTATTATATAAAAAGAATGGAAACTAGAACCTCCGTTTTTTCTGATCGTTTTTCAAGATCGTTGCGGGAGCCTGGACACTGTACCCCCTTTCTTTGAATTTGATGAAAAAAAGGGCGATTGACGAGCATAAACTACAGTTGCGATGTAGTCTCCATGGTCTAGTGGCTAAGGGGTGCGACCCTCAGCTGCTAAACCTGGGTTCGATTCCCCGCTCAGGAATTCCTTTTTGCCACTAATGTTGGCTCTAAAAAACAGCTGATTTCTCCACAGATCCTATTACATAAAAAGAATGGAAACTAGAACCTCCGTTTTTCTGATCGTTTTTCAGGATCGTTGCGGGAGCCTGGACACTGTACCCCCTTTCTTTGAATTTAATGAAAAAAAGGCGATCGACGCGCATAAACTACAGTTGTGATGTAGGTCTCCATGGTCTAGTGGCTAAGGGGTGCGACTCTCAGCTGCCAGACTCGGGTTCAATTCACCACTCAAAAATTCCTTTTTGCCACTAACGTTGGCTCCAAAAAACAGCTGATTTCTCCACAAATTACTATATATATAATAAAAAAAGCAACGGAAAAGCGAACTTTTTTGCACCGCCCGTTTTCGTTGCGTGAGCCTGGACACCGTACCCCATTCCCTCTTGAGTTTGATGAAAAAGAAGGCGATTGACGCGCATAAACTACATGATGTAGTCTCCATGGTCTAGTGGCTAAGGAGTGCGACTCTCAACTGCTAAACCCGGGTTCGATTCCCCGCTCAAAAATTCCTTTTTGCCACTAATGTTGGCTCCAAAAAACAGCTGATTTCTCCACAAATTACTATATATATATTAAAAAAAGCAACGGGAAAGCGAACTTTTTTGCACCGCCCCGTTTTCGTTGCGTGAGCCTGGACACCGTACCCCATTCCCTCTTGAGTTTGATGAAAAAGAAGGCGATTGACGCGCATAAACTACATGATATAGTCTCCATGGTCTAGTGGCTAAGGGGTGCGACCCTCAGCTGCTAAACCCGGGTTCGATTCCCCGCTCAGGAATCCCTTTTTGCCATTAATGTTGGCTCTAAAAAACAGCTGATTTCTCCACAGATCACTATCATTTCATATAAAACAATCGTAAGGTACAGTAGGAATTTTTTGCAGAGAAGGATATTTGAGCATCCACCCGTCCTCAAAGCGAGCCCGTGCAGCTCCCCCCACACATCAATCCTTTCGTTGAGATTTGATAAAGAAAGGCAGCTAAAATACATTGACTCAAGGGTACAATGCAGCGTCTATGGTCTAGTGGCTAATGGGCGCGGCTCTCGGCCAGACCGGCGAACTTAATGTGGCAAGATATTAAATATGTCTCATTTAAAGGCCATATTTCGTCGTCAAAAAGAAAGAAATTCAAAAATCTAAGAGAATTTTCACTTAAGAGCTTGTCCTCTTCTTTACAATGATACCATTCCCTTCATCTCGTCTTCACTGGTTGATGAGTTATGGGCGTTCAAAGTTAGCGTATCGGTTAGAAACGCTGCTTCCTCTTAAGCAAAATTTATTTTGGTTTTGATAACACACATATAACATTTTCCACAACTTTCAGTACTTACAAAGCGCTAATCATTAGAGCTTACAGCCATTTTCCTTTGCTATAGTGTTACAAATATTTAGCGTTTTGGAATTCATCAGAGAACAACCGAATCTTTCTCAAAAGATTGCCGCTGAGCGTCGATATCGAACAACTAAAATGAGTGAGTTGCCAGGGTCAAGTATTGTGTGAATTGCATCACCAGGGTAAAGAAGGGGGTCGGCACGCCGCAGGGGAGGGGTGGGGGGGGGGGTCGTAATGGGGGGGGTGGGTAGGTAAGGGGGGGGGGGCGTATCGACCCAAGGTCAAAAGCGGTTTTTAAGCGTAAAAGCACTGTAACTAAATTTTCAGGTGTGCCCACTTCTTTTCCAACTACCTCTGACAACTCAGGGAACGTAACTGAGAGAAATTCTGAATGGACTCTTGGTTTAGGTACGAGTTTATTTTCAATAGAATTTCTTGAAAAGCAGGTTTTGCAGTGAATGGATGATGGTGTGACGACCGACGAGTGATGTGTGGGAAAGTGAAGATTTCGTCAATAGAAATACACGATACATTTGAACAACTTGTGTCGGAAGAGAGAAACATACGCATATTGTTGTTGTGGTTTCTGTGTAAAATGTACCTTAAAAAAACATTTATCTGTTGCATGCGCTAATATAAGGAAATGAATAGTGATTTATAAAGATGTGAAGATGTTCAGTCTGTTTTCTTAGAAGATCCGATTGAAAAAATGTTCATCTTAGCAAGTTCTTCTTGCAACAGCCGGTCCTTAATTTCCTCTGTGTCCTTTCGTGCATTCAGACCGTGAACCACCATGTGGCGCCTTACATGGAGCTTGGCCAACTCATATGCATCTCCTAGATGCATAGAATGCTTTAGACTGTAGAACGTGAAATGAATCGAACCTTTTGCAATGTTTTCTTTTACTGCTTTCATGAGGCTGCCTTCTCTAGCTAGATTCGATGGCATACACGGATCGAGCCCAAGTCCCGGTGCAGGATGCATCCATTGGAGTGCTAACTGTTGAAGTTTGACTGTTAGGATGCTAGGCCCATTACGCTGCACCGTAAAACATGCATTGATGGTGGAGCATACTTACACCAACAGGGCTTACATCATGATGTTGTCTAGAGACTCCATCTTTATGTTACTCTTTTCCTCTCTAGAGAGCCTGTTAGCAGCAGAGAAACTGCGCTCGGGGTCGGCGTTGCTTGCGGGGAGGATGAGGACGCATTTTATGGCCTAAAAAAGCTTCTGCTATAGTCCAAAAAAAGACGGGAAATGTAGTACCTGCTGGACCTCATCCGGGACATGCAGATTGTTACTGTACTGTAACAGTGTTCGATAAAACGACAGACTATCTGAGTGTTCTCTGAAGTTTGATTCCCACTTTGCGAACCTTTGCACTGACGCAGGTATAGTATTAAAGAAGCGAATCATGCTATCCTTGAGGTCAGGGATGTTACAGAACTGACTAAGTACTTCAATGGAATCCATAATTTTGCTGTTGACGAAGATTTGGATCAAGTATGTCGGCTTCCATAATAAAATAGCTGGGGCATCCTCTATTGAAGAAGTTTGCGTTTGTCGGTACATAGTCAACAAATCCGTTTTCGAAATCTCCGTTGAATTCAATCACATCCAGTATAATGTGCTTATCCAAAGCCAGTAGATCAATATTATTGAATTCATGAGGCTTATTCACGAGCTGGGCATCTAATGCCTGCTTCATTTCGTTGTAGAAACGTGTAATGGAAGGGTATACAGCATTGTTCAGGTCGAAATCTTCATATCGTTTTGCTAAACTATAGTGCCTTAAGTCACCTTCACTACTTTCTGGAGCATCTTCAAGGCTAAAGGTGAGTTCGGGATCGTCTGGGTCCGGAGGGCTTTCTTCGTAGGATGTGGTGCGAGCCAAGTCTTTGAATAAATGCCAGTCCAGAAGTTGTTGCCGCTCTTCATCATCGCCTTCTGAGCAGCGGTCGAGTGAAAAATCTGCGAGCGCTCGAGGATTGTATGCTAAAAGGCGTCTGTCATCTTTGTTAGGGTAGTTGTTGAGGAAGTCCGCATCGATACGTTCTATTTCGTCATTAACATAGGCCTTGAAGGTTCCTCGCTCAAGTAAGTTTTTTGTCGTTTTTTCTAATAGACCTCGTGTTGCTATGCTGTAGACAAGGGCTCTCCACTTTTGTAGGTTGTCAACAAGTACAGTTGCAGCGGTAGAATTTGTCCAAAACTGCGGGATTGTCGGGATTCGCGGGATTATCGGGATTCGCGGGATTCGCGGGATTCGCGGGATAAGCGGGATTTAGCTATAACTTCTTTCAAAACAGTTTTATTTGTAATCTGCGGGAAGATTTGGCTTCAGCTTGATGAGACGAATCTTCTAGTAAACAATATGTCCGTAGGTTCATAGTGACACGGTAAACATATGGTGATACCTTGTTATTTTCTATGTTAAGGCTTTTGTGAACATCTATCACAGTGTAAATAGTGAATAGAAGGTTCTGGTACGAAGTTCTCATTATCGAAAACTATCGCGAAAATTTGGGCAGTTTTTATTTACCCTTATCACTGATATAAGCATTTTATCATTTATCACTGATAGTATCACATTTTTGGATTATTTTTGGCATATGGTAAGAAAAGTATTGTAGGAAACGCTGTGTGAATTTCTATCGCTCTTTCTCTCATTATAAGTGATCTACAGGATTTCCTAGTTCTATTGTTCCGTCAATTGGTAGATCCCTCGCTGCAGCAATCGATCGATTTCTCATCGACATATGCCATTGCTGCCAATTCTTACCTACAATGGCATTTTTGCTTCAACTCGCTTCACGCCGAAGCTTGGGCTGAAATTCTGCACCTATATGGAAGATGAACGTCGGAATCGACCGCATGAATTTAAGCCATTCTTATCTGCCGGTGTCACTGATATCACCATTTTATCACTGATAATATCACAAAATTGGACCATTTTTGACATACAGTAAGGCATGTACTTTAGGAAACGTTGTGCAAGTTTTTATCGCTCTATCTCTTTTAGAATGTGATCTACAGGTTTTTTCGGTTCAATTGCGCATTCGGTGCAGTAGATAGATTCCTCAGCAACAATCGATTGATTGCTCATCATGCGCATGACGCCGTCTCCTTGAAGACGTTGCTTTTTCAGAAAATTTCACCGCTCTATAAATTGTGAATGAACGGAGTCGCCTGTCAACAGGACATTCAAAGATGAGCTGAACACTTCTGTTTCCTGCGTATGACATACAAATCCAGATCCAAGAAGGCGATCGGTCTAAGGTGCTAACTGCGCAAACGGCGTGCTCGAGCATCTTTCCATCAGAGTCCACACCGCGAACGATGCGCGTACATAGGCTGTTGCCTCCGTATCTAAGTCTTTTTGAATTCTCTTATGCTCTACTCTATTTCTTGCTATCTACAATAGCTCACAATAATGCAGATTTTCTTTGTATGTCGTGAAATTCCGGGGGTTTTGCGAAAGTTCGTAACGTTCTGGAAGTTTTGGGACGTTCCGGGATTTCCGCGGAATCACGCGAATCACGCAAACTACAGAACGCCATAGCTCCATTCAGAATAAATAAATTCTGCATCCAATTCCGTTTCCAGTTTTCTCAAACTCTTCCGCGGGGCTCTGTTTGCAAGATGTAACGCAGCGCCTATCTAACATAAAAGACACTAGTAAGTAATATTTGATAGCACGGTTCCTGTAGATTATAGCGCACTAAAGTATAGCTGCAGATTTCTTTCCAGAAGAAACATAAGCGTTGGTGAATTCTGGAATAATCATGCGTTTTCAAATTCTATTTGTCATAACTTCCTTCGGAATGAATGTATTCTGAATCTGAAAAAAGCATTGTGCTCAGCTCGCCAAGGCAAATCTTTCGATATACAGCGTGCCCTTGATATTCCGATTTAGTATTCGTGAATCTCTGCGGACGTCACTTTGCAAAGGTGTAAAGTAGCGCGCACTGCCCCTAGTAGACTACTGTAAGAACGATTCGATAGTACCCTCCCTTGCAGATTAATGATCGCTAAAAAGTCTCCGCAAACTTCTTTTGAAGGGAGATAGAAGGGCTGGTGAATTGGGGAAAAATCTTCTTGCAGGAACTTCTACTCGCTGTAGCCCTAGAATACGAAGCTATCTTGCTAAGCAGATGTGAATTTCGAAATAAGCAGGTCAGATAACCTCTGTGAGCAAGTTTTCCGGGATGTTCGGGTATTTCATTTTTTCTCGTTTTACGCTCTGGAAGCTCGCCGATAATTATTGGTCAAAATGTTGATGCTCTTGAATTGTAAGGAAGCTTCGCTTATAGAGGTTTTCGAACACGCTGTTTACGAAAATAGTGGTCTTTGAAGAAGACAGGGTCTTTTTGTAGAGATATTATGAGGTGACCTAACTGAGTCATGAAAGTTCGTAAATTTCCCTGCGCTTTTCGCGAATTTGTAAGAAAACTTGCCTGCTTACTTTTCTAAGTCAAAATCACTAGGAACTGTGCTATCAGAAGGTGCACGCTCAGGCCCCAGTCTATAAAGTTCTCCGAGTTACGAGCCTACGAAAACACGTGCTCATGAACTTCGCTCAAAGTGTAAAAATCGCGTATTTCGTCGAAATTCCACCCTGAGTGGTTGTATGACATACTGATCAAATCTGCTCACATTGGTTAATGGTCTTACTGTGCTGGATTTGGAAATTAGGTAGATCTGAGCTCAAGCTACGAAGCTGCTTGGATGTTCAATTGAGCAGCTAAAGAACGCGCGACCACCATATTCAATTCAATGGGATCCCTTAGGCGAAGTGAACATAATATTTGCAACCAGAATGTCATACAACCCAGGGTGGAATTTCGACGAAATACGCGATTTTTACACTTTGAGCGAAGTTCATGAGCACGTGTTTTCGTAGGCTCGTAACTCGGAGAACTTTATAGACTGGGGCCTGAGCGTGCACCTTCTGATAGCACAGTTCCTAGTGATTTTGACTTAGAAAAGTAAGCAGGCAAGTTTTCTTACAAATTCGCGAAAAGCGCAGGCAAATTTACGAACTTTCATGACTCAGTTAGGTCACCTCACAATATCTCTACAAAAAGACCCTGTCTTCTTCAAAGACCACTATTTTCGTAAACAGCGTGTTCGAAAACCTCTATAAGCGAAGCTTCCTTACAATTCAAGAGCATCAACATTTTGACCAATAATTATCGGCGAGCTTCCAGAGCGTAAAACGAGAAAAAATGAAATACCCGAACATCCCGGAAAACTTGCTCACAGAGGTTATCTGACCTGCTTATTTCGAAATTCACATCTGCTTAGCAAGATAGCTTCGTATTCTAGGGCTACAGCGAGTAGAAGTTCCTGCAAGAAGATTTTTCCCCAATTCACCAGCCCTTCTATCTCCCTTCAAAAGAAGTTTGCGGAGACTTTTTAGCGATCATTAATCTGCAAGGGAGGTACTATCGAATCGTTCTTACAGTAGTCTACTAGGGGCAGTGCGCGCTACTTTACACCTTTGCAAAGTGACGTCCGCAGAGATTCACGAATACTAAATCGGAATATCAAGGGCACGCTGTATATCGAAAGATTTGCCTTGGCGAGCTGAGCACAATGCTTTTTTCAGATTCAGAATACATTCATTCCGAAGGAAGTTATGACAAATAGAATTTGAAAACGCATGATTATTCCAGAATTCACCAACGCTTATGTTTCTTCTGGAAAGAAATCTGCAGCTATACTTTAGTGCGCTATAATCTACAGGAACCGTGCTATCAAATATTACTTACTAGTGTCTTTTATGTTAGATAGGCGCTGCGTTACATCTTGCAAACAGAGCCCCGCGGAAGAGTTTGAGAAAACTGGAAACGGAATTGGATGCAGAATTTATTTATTCTGAATGGAGCTATGGCGTTCTGTAGTTTGCGTGATTCGCGTGATTCCGCGGAAATCCCGGAACGTCCCAAAACTTCCAGAACGTTACGAACTTTCGCAAAACCCCCGGAATTTCACGACATACAAAGAAAATCTGCATTATTGTGAGCTATTGTAGATAGCAAGAAATAGAGTAGAGCATAAGAGAATTCAAAAAGACTTAGATACGGAGGCAACAGCCTATGTACGCGCATCGTTCGCGGTGTGGACTCTGATGGAAAGATGCTCGAGCACGCCGTTTGCGCAGTTAGCACCTTAGACCGATCGCCTTCTTGGATCTGGATTTGTATGTCATACGCAGGAAACAGAAGTGTTCAGCTCATCTTTGAATGTCCTGTTGACAGGCGACTCCGTTCATTCACAATTTATAGAGCGGTGAAATTTTCTGAAAAAGCAACGTCTTCAAGGAGACGGCGTCATGCGCATGATGAGCAATCAATCGATTGTTGCTGAGGAATCTATCTACTGCACCGAATGCGCAATTGAACCGAAAAAACCTGTAGATCACATTCTAAAAGAGATAGAGCGATAAAAACTTGCACAACGTTTCCTAAAGTACATGCCTTACTGTATGTCAAAAATGGTCCAATTTTGTGATATTATCAGTGATAAATGATAAAATGGTGATATCAGTGACACCGGCAGATAAGAATGGCTTAAATTCATGCGGTCGATTCCGACGTTCATCTTCCATATAGGTGCAGAATTTCAGCCCAAGCTTCGGCGTGAAGCGAGTTGAAGCAAAAATGCCATTGTAGGTAAGAATTGGCAGCAATGGCATATGTCGATGAGAAATCGATCGATTGCTGCAGCGAGGGATCTACCAATTGACGGAACAATAGAACTAGGAAATCCTGTAGATCACTTATAATGAGAGAAAGAGCGATAGAAATTCACACAGCGTTTCCTACAATACTTTTCTTACCATATGCCAAAAATAATCCAAAAATGTGATACTATCAGTGATAAATGATAAAATGCTTATATCAGTGATAAGGGTAAATAAAAACTGCCCAAATTTTCGCGATAGTTTTCGATAATGAGAACTTCGTACCAGAACCTTCTATTCACTATTTACACTGTGATAGATGTTCACTAAAGCCTTAACATAGAAAATAACAAGGTATCACCATATGTTTACCGTGTCACTATGAACCTACGGACATATTGTTTACTAGAAGATTCGTCTCATCAAGCTGAAGCCAAATCTTCCCGCAGATTACAAATAAAACTGTTTTGAAAGAAGTTATAGCTAAATCCCGCTTATCCCGCGAATCCCGCGAATCCCGCGAATCCCGATAATCCCGCGAATCCCGACAATCCCGCAGTTTTGGACAAATTCTACCGCTGCAACTGTACTTGTTGACAACCTACAAAAGTGGAGAGCCCTTGTCTACAGCATAGCAACACGAGGTCTATTAGAAAAAACGACAAAAAACTTACTTGAGCGAGGAACCATCAAGGCCTATGTTAATGACGAAATAGAACGTATCGATGCGGACTTCCTCAACAACTACCCTAACAAAGATGACAGACGCCTTTTAGCATACAATCCTCGAGCGCTCGCAGATTTTTCACTCGACCGCTGCTCAGAAGGCGATGATGAAGAGCGGCAACAACTTCTGGACTGGCATTTATTCAAAGACTTGGCTCGCACCACATCCTACGAAGAAAGCCCTCCGGACCCAGACGATCCCGAACTCACCTTTAGCCTTGAAGATGCTCCAGAAAGTAGTGAAGGTGACTTAAGGCACTATAGTTTAGCAAAACGATATGAAGATTTCGACCTGAACAATGCTGTATACCCTTCCATTACACGTTTCTACAACGAAATGAAGCAGGCATTAGATGCCCAGCTCGTGAATAAGCCTCATGAATTCAATAATATTGATCTACTGGCTTTGGATAAGCACATTATACTGGATGTGATTGAATTCAACGGAGATTTCGAAAACGGATTTGTTGACTATGTACCGACAAACGCAAACTTCTTCAATAGAGGATGCCCCAGCTATTTTATTATGGAAGCCGACATACTTGATCCAAATCTTCGTCAACAGCAAATTATGGATTCCATTGAAGTACTTAGTCAGTTCTGTAACATCCCTGACCTCAAGGATAGCATGATTCGCTTCTTTAATACTATACCTGCGTCAGTGCAAAGGTTCGCAAAGTGGGAATCAAACTTCAGAGAACACTCAGATAGTCTGTCGTTTTATCGAACACTGTTACAGTACAGTAACAATCTGCATGTCCCGGATGAGGTCCAGCAGGTACTACATTTCCCGTCTTTTTTTGGACTATAGCAGAAGCTTTTTTAGGCCATAAAATGCGTCCTCATCCTCCCCGCAAGCAACGCCGACCCCGAGCGCAGTTTCTCTGCTGCTAACAGGCTCTCTAGAGAGGAAAAGAGTAACATAAAGATGGAGTCTCTAGACAACATCATGACGTAAGCCCTGTTGGTGTAAGTATGCTCCACCATCAATGCATGTTTTACGGTGCAGCGTAATGGGCCTAGCATCCTAACAGTCAAACTTCAACAGTTAGCACTCCAATGGATGCATCCTGCACCGGGACTTGGGCTCGATCCGTGTATGCCATCGAATCTAGCTAGAGAAGGCAGCCTCATGAAAGCAGTAAAAGAAAACATTGCAAAAGGTTCGATTCATTTCACGTTCTACAGTCTAAAGCATTCTATGCATCTAGGAGATGCATATGAGTTGGCCAAGCTCCATGTAAGGCCCCGGGCAGACTTCACGCGATTTGATCGTCGCGACTGAATCGCGAGGAGACAACTGTTACAACATCATTCCATGCAGATCAACTTGCATTCGGTTGTGATACTTTTCCAGACCGAAATTTTTGAATGTGAAATGAAAATGAATGGAAATCTTGGCGATTTGGTCGCGACGATTAAGTCGCGTGAAGTCTGACCGGGGCCTAAGGCGCCTCATGGTGGTTCACGGTCTGAATGCACGAAAGGACACAGAGGAAATTAAGAACCGGCTGTTGCAAGAAGAACTTGCTAAGATGAACATTTTTTCAATCGGATCTTCTAAGAAAACAGACTGAACATCTTCACATCTTTATAAATCACTATTCATTTCCTTATATTAGCGCATGCAACAGATAAATGTTTTTTTAAGGTACATTTTACACAGAAACCACAACAACAATATGCGTATGTTTCTCTCTTCCGACACAAGTTGTTCAAATGTATCGTGTATTTCTATTGACGAAATCTTCACTTTCCCACACATCACTCGTCGGTCGTCACACCATCATCCATTCACTGCAAAACCTGCTTTTCAAGAAATTCTATTGAAAATAAACTCGTACCTAAACCAAGAGTCCATTCAGAATTTCTCTCAGTTACGTTCCCTGAGTTGTCAGAGGTAGTTGGAAAAGAAGTGGGCACACCTGAAAATTTAGTTACAGTGCTTTTACGCTTAAAAACCGCTTTTGACCTTGGGTCGATACGCCCCCCCCCCTTACCTACCCACCCCCCCCTTACGACCCCCCCCCCACCCCTCCCCTGCGGCGTGCCGACCCCCTTCTTTACCCTGGTGATGCAATTCACACAATACTTGACCCTGGCAACTCACTCATTTTAGTTGTTCGATATCGACGCTCAGCGGCAATCTTTTGAGAAAGATTCGGTTGTTCTCTGATGAATTCCAAAACGCTAAATATTTGTAACACTATAGCAAAGGAAAATGGCTGTAAGCTCTAATGATTAGCGCTTTGTAAGTACTGAAAGTTGTGGAAAATGTTATATGTGTGTTATCAAAACCAAAATAAATTTTGCTTAAGAGGAAGCAGCGTTTCTAACCGATACGCTAACTTTGAACGCCCATAACTCATCAACCAGTGAAGACGAGATGAAGGGAATGGTATCATTGTAAAGAAGAGGACAAGCTCTTAAGTGAAAATCCTCTTAGATTTTTGAATTTCTTTCTTTTTGACGACGAAATATGGCCTTTAAATGAGACATATTTAATATCTTGCCACATTAAGTTCGCCGGTCTGGCCGAGAGCCGCGCCCATTAGCCACTAGACCATAGACGCTGCATTGTACCCTTGAGTCAATGTATTTTAGCTGCCTTTCTTTATCAAATCTCAACGAAAGGATTGATGTGTGGGGGGAGCTGCACGGGCTCGCTTTGAGGACGGGTGGATGCTCAAATATCCTTCTCTGCAAAAAATTCCTACTGTACCTTACGATTGTTTTATATGAAATGATAGTGATCTGTGGAGAAATCAGCTGTTTTTTAGAGCCAACATTAATGGCAAAAAGGGATTCCTGAGCGGGGAATCGAACCCGGGTTTAGCAGCTGAGGGTCGCACCCCTTAGCCACTAGACCATGGAGACTATATCATGTAGTTTATGCGCGTCAATCGCCTTCTTTTTCATCAAACTCAAGAGGGAATGGGGTACGGTGTCCAGGCTCACGCAACGAAAACGGGCGGTGCAAAAAAGTTCGCTTTTCCGTTGCTTTTTTTAATATATATATAGTAATTTGTGGAGAAATCAGCTGTTTTTTGGAGCCAACATTAGTGGCAAAAAGGAATTTTTGAGCGGGGAATCGAACCCGGGTTTAGCAGTTGAGAGTCGCACTCCTTAGCCACTAGACCATGGAGACTACATCATGTAGTTTATGCGCGTCAATCGCCTTCTTTTTCATCAAACTCAAGAGGGAATGGGGTACGGTGTCCAGGCTCACGCAACGAAAACGGGCGGTGCAAAAAAGTTCGCTTTTCCGTTGCTTTTTTTATTATATATATAGTAATTTGTGGAGAAATCAGCTGTTTTTTGGAGCCAACGTTAGTGGCAAAAAGGAATTTTTGAGTGGTGAATTGAACCCGAGTCTGGCAGCTGAGAGTCGCACCCCTTAGCCACTAGACCATGGAGACTACATCACAACTGTAGTTTATGCGCGTCGATCGCCTTTTTTTCATTAAATTCAAAGAAAGGGGGTACAGTGTCCAGGCTCCCGCAACGATCCTGAAAAACGATCAGAAAAACGGAGGTTCTAGTTTCCATTCTTTTTATGTAATAGGATCTGTGGAGAAATCAGCTGTTTTTTAGAGCCAACATTAGTGGCAAAAAGGAATTCCTGAGCGGGGAATCGAACCCAGGTTTAGCAGCTGAGGGTCGCACCCCTTAGCCACTAGACCATGGAGACTACATCGCAACTGTAGTTTATGCTCGTCAATCGCCCTTTTTTTCATCAAATTCAAAGAAAGGGGGTACAGTGTCCAGGCTCCCGCAACGATCTTGAAAAACGATCAGAAAAACGGAGGTTCTAGTTTCCATTCTTTTTATATAATAGGAGAAATCAGCTGTTTTTGGGGCCAACGTTAGTGGCAAAAAGGAATTGCTGAGTGGTGAATCGAACCCGGGTTTAGCAGCTGAGAGTCGCACTCCTTAGCCACTAGACCATGGAGACTACATCATGTAGTTTATGCGCGTCAATCGCCTTCTTTTTCATCAAACTCAAGGGGGAATGGGTACGGTGTCCAGGCTCACGCAACGAAAACGGGCGGTGCAAAAAAGTTCGCTTTTCCGTTGCTTTTTTTTATTATATACTAGCGGCCCAATGGCGAGCAGGTGTGAGAAATGTTGTATTGAGTCACCATAGCCTCGTATTAGACAATGCCGTGGAAGCTAATGAACTCGTCTAGCGATGTTTGCTTGAAATCCGCTGAAAAGGCATGGTGTGCATGTAGTTTTAATGACGAAAGTACGACAGCTTGCAGAAGAACGTTGGAGTCAAGAAAGATGTTGCGTTGAGTGAAGCTCATTTTCCAAAATAGAAATGCACACCTTACACCTTGCGCTTTTTCTCTAGACTCAACCTCGCATTAGAGAAACGAGTAATGTTCCTTCTTCTCGTACAGCATCCTTCCCGTAGCTCTCCTTTCTGTGGCTTTTCTTAGCTGATGTATTGTATTGCATGTTCCTTTCGGTTTAGAATTTTCTCAAAGCGTTAGCGGCTTTTTCCGTCAAATCATTAGAGGAGGGTGAGAACGCGATTCGCGTCCTATTCCTTTCCAACACCACTGTCGCGCGCGGAACATCCTGCGGCGGCTTTTGCTCAAGCAAAACAGGGGGAAGAAAGATTTGCGGCGTGTAATGTGTTAAGACAAGTAAAAATCAGGATGGCGCTGGAGACCGCCCGTGCGAAAAGATCGTTTTCCATTAGAAGAGCCTAATTTCCTCATCACTCTTGCCTTAAAATATCAGTTTTTCCCATTTTCTTAGCCAAAATGCACCAAGTTTTTCCCTCTAAAACTCCACAGTGAAGTTGTCCACTCTTTCTTCGTTGTTCAAGGAGCTGTCCCGTTTCAAAACACCCTTTTCGCAAAAGCTTACTCAAAAAAGTCATAGTATCTTTCTCTCCCTTCAATGTACTTCCACTCAGTATGCTCACAGCGTTCCGCTTAACTTTTCCGTGCCAAAACCCTAAGCAGGGCCCGGCGTACTTTGGTTAGAAGGATTTTTGAAGACTAAGCCCGCTGCAGAATGCAGAAAGAATATAGTATTCGTGGTTAGTCTTTAGAAAACCCCTTAGACCAAATTTCAGCCGATTGAATCAACTCTTCTACGTATATCCACCGTTGCCCCACCAAATGGCGTTTTTATGATAGAACGTAATATTTGTGATTTCTCTACCGAATTTCAGCCAAATTCGCGACTTTGAAATTTTGGGCCGCGGACACAGAGATAGCACCGTTCGAACTTCCTCGCAAGCAAATCCAGTCCAAGTAAACACCTCGTTTTCCAAAATTCTTATGCCAAAGCGCAAGTCTCCTTTTTTTCTGGAAGTTCTCTCTATCTTTATTCGAAGCATGTTATGCTGCAGCCGATAAATCACAAATGGAAAATGCGGCGGCGATCGCTTTTACGCGCAATTCGCGCTCATCTCATGGATGCACAAGTAGGGGATCTTCATAGCGCGCTTCTGTGGCGCTTTTAATCTAAGCAAAAAAGAAAGAGCAAAATCTCACAGGTTTAAGAAAGCAGGTTGGCTTTTGATATTTCAAAAGCAAATACACATTGATCGCCTTCCTATGAACAGGACGAAAGATCCTAGGGTTTGCAAATGTTTCATGCTTTCGTGCATAACTGCACAAAGAGATCTGGGAGCTAAAAAACGCGATAATACTTCGAAAAAGCCGGTAGATTGGTAACATCATATAGCTACGCGGTTTCGCAATTTTTTACTCTCCGCTCAAAGTTCAGGTGACCGGAAACAGTTTTGACATGGTCGGCTAGCATGCGCACTATACAGCGAAGTTTCAGACATTTTCATCAACAAGAGATCAATTACGGTGATTTCCAGAAATTCACAAGTGTCCGTACTGTACTTACGGAGTGTTATTAGCTAGTCTCAAATGCAAGCGGCTTCCCATGAAAGGGAGCTGTGCGCGGGCGCAAACTCAGTCACGGAAGGCGCTCAAACTTCCGTTCGCATCCGCTTCGCAAAGCGACCGCTATTGTCAAGGATTAGGCTTTACATTCCATCATGAGCATTCACATTACAAAGCATAGTAAGGTTTTGGTTTCAAAGATGCAAGTGAGAGAGGGAGTGAAGGTTATCTACTGTTGAGGCGCGCTTGATCTGGCCCATTCTCCATGGTTTCTCTCACTCAGTTAATGGCAGTTTACGAATAGTGTGTGATTGCTTAAGTTTAGTGAAAAAAGAAGTGAATGTTAGAATTTGGCCTTAGTGGGGTACAGAGTATCCTTGTTACAAGGTACGATAATTTGTCGTTTCGCTCGTTATTTTTTTCACCTTACTCATTTTTCATATAATAGATTTCCTACAATGTTTTCTTTTCTTTGTCATCTACGCTGTTTGATGAAACTGCGATTAGTATCATAGCGCACTTGAAATGAACATAGTTTATATTTGTCGTGAGCTCTTTGCTTGTGATGTTAGAGTAATACAATTCATTCACTGTACATGCTTCTGGTATTTCACTCCATAATACTTATTTCCCTGATAGTTGTCGCTCTGCAGCAGCCCTTTGGGAGAATTTCAGAATGTACTTTGATTACTTCCACAGTGACTTATGACATCAAATGACTGGAAGCATCTATACAGGCTTTCAGCGTTTTGTAAATACTAAAAGCTACCAACGTTTTCAACCGATACCCTAACTTTGAGCGCTCATAACTCACCAACCACTGAAGATGGGGTGAAGAGAATGGTACCAATAAAAAGAACAAGAAAAGCTCTTAAGCGAAAATGCTCTTAGATTCTCTAGCGGCCCAATGAAGTATTCGTGTAAGAAATTACTTCCTTGACACTTCCTCTACCCTCTATAGATGCCATTCACGGCAAGATAAACACATTGAAGTATTTTATAGGTATAAACCTAACCTAGACTATCTGTACTACTGCAGTTTATTCATATATATATATATATATATATATATATATATATATATATATATATATATATCAGATAACACACAGCAACAATAGTATCAACAACTACATGTCAAGAATATATAACCAGATCGGAAAAAGCTAGCAAAGCGACAAAACTATCAAATCTATAATGTATATATAAAGACATATCTGAACAAAATACAACCTAAAATGAGGAGTTTGTCAATGCCCAAATCAAAAGGGCACTGACAAACGTGCAATACAAATCAGAGAGAAAGGTTAAAAAGTAGATGTTTGTGAAAATCGTTGATCAGAGGACATATGAATCTGTCCGATTCTCTTATGAAACTTGGACATGGATTCTTCGTCGACTTTCAGGAAACACTGTGCAGTACATTCTTTGGTGGCCTGAAGCAGGAATCATCGCTCTGCTCGTTGCAGACCGAGAATGAGGAGATCGAGCACCAAACCGTAGTACTAAAAATGAGATACTAACATCCATGTTGAAAAGTCAAAACCATAATTCTGGGCACTAAAGGTCCAACACTTACCTGTACGATGAACAAAACAAACTGAAGTCTCTGATGATTGCAAAACAAATCGTGTGGTTCATATCTTTGTATTTTATGAGAACGTTGTTCTTTGACGACATGTACAGCCTAAAAGAGAACTTAATTCAAAACTGCTTTTCCACACACCAGAAGGGACTTACCTCAGCAATATTCAGCAGTGCCAAATCTATCTTTTTAACTACTTTCTCCAATTTAGCCTCCATCATCATGTTACATCCTCCTAGATAAAAGTAGATGAGAGAGACGAAAATTATTTTGTTCATCTTAAGATATACCTTCTCCACTTACTCACACATCTTACAAGTTCTTAATACCCTGGCACCATTTGTAGACAAGAAGTGGAGATGGCTCAGTGTCACCAGGCTTGACCCATGATGGGAACAGCCTGAATGAGAGTTTTCAAGATTATTTCAGAAGACCAAAACAAACTGACACCTGTTAGGTATCTATCTTAGGCACCCTTTGTCCTCCATCAACGATAGTATTGAATTACGAATTTAAAGCGAAGCCATTTCGATTGCTGTGTATCACACAGATAACATACAGCAACAATAGTATCAAGAACTACATGTCAATAATATATAATCAGGTCGGAATAAGCTAGCAAAGCGAAAAAACTATCAAATCGGAAAAAGCTAGCAAAGCGAAAAAACTATCAAATCTATAATGTATATATAGAGATATACCTGAGCATCACCTATCACAAAATCAGTTCGTAGATCTTGCTCGCGCATCTGCAACAAATGCTCTTCATTTTGCAGACTTTTTTTAGGTGTAAGGAATTTCAACCATTCGTTACTTCGAAATTCTAACCTTCACTTCCCTCATGACACCGGGATGCGGTAATAACTTCTCCCAATTTACTTTTACATCAGCTTGTACGTTTACTTTACAATGAAACAAATCCTTCGACGAACATCTCTTCGGCACCTGTTCCGGATACCACATACGATATACTCTTTCCGCAGGAATCTATAATTTTTGCTCCAAAAAATGCAAATAATAGGAGAGAATATACAAACACAAATAAACAAGATATACAAAACCGTACCTGCACAGGCTTTGTTTCTTCTAAGCTGAGACTTTCTAGACTTCCCTGCTCACTAATTAATGAGCAGATTCGCTCCGCTGAAATTCTTGACCTTTCGGTATCCACCCGTACAATAGTGTGAGACACATCCGGTTCATTCTAAAAGTCACGAGTGCAGAAAAGTAAGGAGCTAATGTTATGCTCACCGCATCATCAACAGTTTCCCACATGCAAATCCTTCATGAATAACTGGCCACTCATTCCTCAACTGCAATGAGCTTCAAATATTTTATCTTCAAGACCAAAAACTCTCATGCTTACCATTACTTTTCCGTCCGAGCAAAAAATCCTTATCACAAATATATCGAACGACCGACCAATCGATCAACAGAACTAACTAGAAGCAAAACAAAAGAACAAAAAAACGATGTAGAGCGAATGCATAATAATTTCATAGACATGAAAAGATCATCATAGTTCAAAAACACCACAAGGATTGATATAATAGCACACACAAAGACTAACCATATAGCTAGTATAAGCTATATGGTATAGCTATAGCTATACCATATAGCTTATACTCTATAGCTAACGCATGAGTACTTACAGAGTAAGTACCATTTGAACCTGATGTAGAAGAGATCGAATTCACAAAGCAGCGGCTCATTTGTCTGAGAGCTACCAGCTCACTTGCAAACGAATGCATTTATGCTTCGATCCCATCGCATAAACATCTATTGCATCGCGCCCACTCACTCAAATTGGCGATTCGTTTCATATGCGGTCTATGACGTCAAGTAATTAAAGGTTTTCTCTGAAGATCAGGTTTTGGGCGCTACCTACCGGAAAGGGATGAGGAAAGTTCTCCTTCGTTATGTAGGAAAAAGGCTTCGGATAAAAAGAAAAAATGCATTTCTTTCCTTCCGACCTCTACTCTTCCAAGAAGTCTAGTAAATAAAAACTGAATTAAGTGAAAGCGTAATGCTTCCAATTTGAACGTATCATTGATGTGATCTAGCACCCACGAGTTCGAGCTCCAAGGTAAATCACAGCTGAGCCGAAAAGAACAACGCGTTTCCCTGAGGTTAATACCGAGTCAGTCAACACATGATGTGACTACAGATGATTCTTCAAAAGGAGAAGGTAGGTTTGGAATACAATACGTTTGGAAAAAGAAGGAAAACAGCAGATTTGAAAAAAAAAAACTCATAATCTATGTACATAGCAGCAAAAAGGCACTATATAGTGACTATTCAACGACATCCTTGAAAAGTCAATCGCAGAATTTTGATACAATGATTTAGCCCATACGCATTTCGTAAGAGTGCTGCCTGACCAAACGTGCTAGACGCACGAATCAATAATCATAACAATGCAAAGGAAACAGAATTAAAACAAACAGAAATAAATACGCACACAAAAAATAACACGCACACAAAAACCACGCACTCAAAAAAACCCAAACAAAAATTTGGGCCAACGTCGCGCACGATACGGTAGGCGGGCTCCGGCAACGAATTTAAAGGTGGCTTCAAAAAGTGCTAATCAATGCGTTGCCATTTTTTTGTTATAGAGGGATATAGTAATCTGTGGAGAAATCAGCTGTTTTTTGGAGCCAACATTAGTGGCAAAAAGGAATTTTCGAGCGGGGAATCAAACCCGGGTTTAGCAGCTGAGAGTCGCACTCCTTAGCCACTAGACCATGGAGGCTACATCATGTAGTTTATGCGCGTCAATCGCCTTCTTTTTCATTAAATTCAAAGAAAGGGGGTACAGTGTCCAGGCTCCCGCAACGATCCTGAAAAACGATCAGAAAAACGGAGGTTCTAGTTTCCATTCTTTTTATGTAATAGGATCTGTGGAGAAATCAGCTGTTTTTTAGAGCCAACATTAGTGGCAAAAAGGAATTCCTGAGCGGGGAATCGAACCCAGGTTTAGCAGCTGAGGGTCGCACCCCTTAGCCACTAGACCATGGAGACTACATCGCAACTGTAGTTTATGCTCGTCAATCGCCCTTTTTTTCATCAAATTCAAAGAAAGGGGGTACAGTGTCCAGGCTCCCGCAACGATCTTGAAAAACGATCAGAAAAACGGAGGTTCTAGTTTCCATTCTTTTTATATAATAGGAGAAATCAGCTGTTTTTGGAGCCAACGTTAGTGGCAAAAAGGAATTCCTGAGTGGTGAATCGAACCCGAGTCTGGCAGCTGAGAGTCGCATTCCTTAGCCACTAGACCATGGAGACTACATCATGTAGTTTATGCGCGTCAATCGCCTTCTTTTTCATCAAACTCAAGGGGGAATGGGTACGGTGTCCAGGCTCACGCAACGAAAACGGGCGGTGCAAAAAAGTTCGCTTTTCCGTTGCTTTTTTTTTATTATATATATAGTAATCTGTGGAGAAATCAGCTGTTTTTTGGAGCCAACATTAGTGGCAAAAAGGAATTTTCGAGCGGGGAATCGAACCCGGGTTTAGCAGCTGAGAGTCGCACTCCTTAGCCACTAGACCATGGAGGCTACATCATGTAGTTTATGCGCGTCAATCGCCTTCTTTTTCATCAAACTCAAGAGGGAATGGGGTACGGTGTCCAGGCTCACGCAACGAAAACGGGCGGTGCAAAAAAGTTCGCTTTTCCGTTGCTTTTTTTTTATTATATATATAGTAATCTGTGGAGAAATCAGCTGTTTTTTGGAGCCAACATTAGTGGCAAAAAGGAATTTTCGAGCGGGGAATCGAACCCGGGTTTAGCAGCTGAGAGTCGCACTCCTTAGCCACTAGACCATGGAGGCTACATCATGTAGTTTATGCGCGTCAATCGCCTTCTTTTTCATCAAACTCAAGAGGGAATGGGGTACGGTGTCCAGGCTCACGCAACGAAAACGGGCGGTGCAAAAAAGTTCGCTTTTCCGTTGCTTTTTTATTATATATATATATAGTAATTTGTGGAGAAATCAGCTGTTTTTTGGAGCCAACATTAGTGGCAAAAAGGAATTTTTGAGCGGGGAATCGAACCCGGGTTTAGCAGCTGAGAGTCGCACTCCTTAGCCACTAGACCATGGAGACTACATCATGTAGTTTATGCGCGTCAATCGCCTTCTTTTTCATCAAATTCAAAGAAGGGGGTACGGTGTCCAGGCTCCCGCAACGATCCTGAAAAACGATTAGAAAAACGGGGGTTCTAGTTTCCATTCTTTTTATATAATAGGATCTGTGGAAAAATCAGTGGCCGTATTCATCAACGAACCTTGAGGTTAAAATCTACCTTGAAAGCATCCCACAAGGTAGAATTTAACCTCAAGGTAACTTTGCTATTCACAAATCTACCTCAAGGTTAAAATCTACATGGTGGTCAGCTGATTACTCACTGACTCTTATTCGGGACATGCCATGACGTATTAACGGTGCATGAAGAATTCGCTGTCAGTGTCCCTTTTAAATGCCAAATGAGTACAGACTTACATACTATAGGTCCAACTGCCGTGTTTTAGCAGGAAGGCATTCTAACAGACACCCGTCATATCAATGAAAAGCGCCCAAGAGTGCCGAAAAGCTCCTGAGCGCCAGAATGCTTCTTTCACAAGCTCGACTTTTGGCGCTGAAGCGCTAGTTTTGAAACACGTTGACACTAGAGAAACTATGCGTTCATTCACAATCATCATGACACATCTTTCGACCACACTCTGTGTTGGCAAGCTTCACCATAAAACTGTTCTAGCTTTCTAAACTTTCGCAACGCTATTTGCAAGCACATTTTCGTTTTTTGAGTTGATAGGCTTTCGACCGCTAAGAGGGTAGCTACCTGTACAAATTACTTTGATGCATAGTTCATATTGTTGCACTTGATAACTTTACGAATCAACAGTGCGAGATAACTGAGAAATATTTGAACTCTGGCTTGATGTCATCATCATGGTTCCTAACTTACATTTTCAGAAGTTAACGAGTTCCTCTTCCGCAATTTACAATTAGCTGTGGCGTTGACTGCTGCTTCTAAAAAGGTTTGCTGAAAGTGGCGTTCTGGCGCTTTTGGGCGCTTTTGAGCGGTTTTGAACGCGCTTTTGTGCGGAGTATAAAAGGTCCTTACATAGGCAATCATTTCCATGATTAAGCGTTTCAATTGAGTTTTATCAGACACATACGCTTCACGACTATCTGTAAGTAGAGTTAAATTTGAGCTGCATCATATGAACCTCGACTTATAAGCCGATTCTGCCAACGATCGACATATACATGCCTTTGCGTGCGAAAGATCTTGCATTTAGCCATCTCATGGAACTAACGATTTGAATGAACTTGTCACTGACTGCACTATTGTATTTGCATGTGGTGTTTGTAGTCATTGTTTGGACAAACAAAATTTTTACTCGCACCAGCTGCAAAACAATCCTCCTGACTCAGAATTCAAAATGTGATGAAAAATTATTTCAAACTATACACCTCCTCTGCGGCACTTGCGACAGTGATGAATACAAAATTTAGAAGCAAGCCACCTTTAGTAGCTAATAGGTTGTCCGGAGATTAATGTCCGTTTTGAATTTGAAAGGAATAAGTCATACACTTCTCATTTTTGAATAGTTGCAAATTACTATTCGATAGAGCAAAGCAAGCTTTACAAGATGGCAATTTTGGCTTTGCACCGGCTTTGATCCACCTCGGTCAAACCAGAAACTAAAAGATTCAATTGCCTGAAAAATTGAGAATAATTCCAATTCAGTCCATAGCAATCCTACAAAATTCTAACTTGCTCACATAAACAGCATCCAAATAATACATCTAGACACGCCAGTGCCTCGATTAGAAATCAAAAAACGAAGATTTTCATACTTTTGCCAAATTGATGCTGTGCTGTCCCGCATATGTGATTTTATAGTACCAACCTATGGAAGTACAAACTAAATTCTCAGCTCTCTATAAACTCTGGTTTTCGAAAAATTCAGATTTTAGTACAGATCACCCGACTAAGGAAAGCTATATTCGCTATTTCTCGAACACTAAAGCTTGTCAAAAGCTGAGAACTTATGTCTATACTTCTACAAGCTTATAGTGTATAACCACTTATGTGGAGACAGCACAGCATCACTTTGGCAAGAGCATGGAGATTTGCGCTTTTTTTGATTTCTAATACCCTATTTTCAGGTGTATAAGCCGCACCCTTTTTGCTCTAAACGCGAGCAGACCCAGGCGTGCCGCCGCGCATATGTCTCGCGAAGCGGTCGCCTTATCGCATACTG